GCAGTGTCACGAATGCTGTGTGACAAGATAAGCATAACAGATAGACAGAAAAAGTAGTGTCTGTCTTCCTCTGTACATGACAAGCCCTGAGAAACCTGTGAAAGATAAATTGACTTAGTAAACTATCATGGAAACAACTGTCCTGGAGCAGATTTGGACCAATTCAGAAATCTTCACTCCAGGATTAGCATCCAACTGACGAAATAACCTACAGCAAAGAAGACACCTTTGAAAGAGCACTGAGCCACTGCATCCTCTCACCCATCAGCTCTAGAGAAATCCACATATTCCTTTTGCAGTTCTGATACCATGGAAAGCACAAAGATGGATCCATCATTAACACCAGCCCAGGACTAGAACAGGGCACAGATGAGAACTAATCAAACCAAGTGTTTTGGCCAAACAAATACCATGTATGTTCAGCTCTTCATTCTTTTTATACATCCATTTAGAGGTTAGGCTTAAATAGAAGGTCTACAAAGAATGGCTAGAGCGGGGAGGAACAATACCTAATGAACTCATTGTCACCTTTCCCTAATTTTGGGGGCTGCTATAAAGGACTGGCTCACAGGAAAAAGCTTTGGGTTCAAATTATTTAAAAGGGGCCAACCAGATCACAAAGTTAGAGCACCAATTTAGTCTACAATTATATCCCCTAAAAAGGCTTTACTTCAGTGGTATTTTTAGTCACCTTTGGTTTCTGAGCATTATGAATGATACTTTCAAAATTCTCTTTGGAGCTATTGCTGGGAACATTCTGATGTTTAAATATTAGTTAAGATTCTTATATGGTAAGAAGAAATTTGGAACTGGTGCTTTGAGGAAGGCCAAAACAGTGAAATAAAACAACCACAGAGTGATTAAGGTGCCAGGGTTAATAGTGGTGACAGTGTTTCCTGGGTTCAACTGTGTGCTCCTTCCCTGCCCTACTCAGATCAGGAAATCAGGGAAGATGAACTCCTCCAGGATTGGGTTATGGTAAGAGTTTGCTGAATGAGCAATGGAGAGCACCAAGAGGATCTGGCACCATTTCCTGAGCAAGAGAGCAGATTTTTGCTTCCCTGGCATTTTCTGTGGACTATGACAGAGAGGTATGAGGGCAGAATTCAGCCCTGGAGTTCACCTGCACACCCAATACAGCAGTCATAAATATTCCAGTCTGAGCCCAATTCTATCATAAATGTTTTTCTTCTCAAACTGTACCAAACCAGAGCAGTTAAAAACTCAGAAAGCAGGTCTAGTATTGTCTCCAGCAATAGCAAAACTGTGTCTTAAACTAACAAACACAGTCCTAAGTGGACTGTTTTATCAGTCAGTATCTGACATAAAGCTGTTCAGGAGCAGCAACAAAATCCTATTTTTAATACTTGGCAGGTAAGTGAAGTGATTTTCAAACTGCCAGACACACATGTGAGCTGAACAGCTTCTCTTGATGGATTTTTAATGGTGTGCACTTTGGTTTTTATTGTTTGGAGCTTAGATACTTTTTTGCGAGGTTTGTTTTAAAATGCAAATATATATGTAAATTTTGAGTCTACACAGATTATGTTGGGACTTTAAAAATTCTTTTTGTACACAAAAATCATACAATCACATCCACATAGTCTGCACAGAATTTCTGCCGTCACACCTCAGATTACTTAAGATCAGAGAGAAGTTTTCTAAGTTTAAGAAGGGAAGACTGAGCCCCAGTGTTGACTGAATGCTTTTTTTACATCCTTATAGCGCATCAGAATCTGATTTGTATTGACTATACACCTTCAGGTCAAGAGGTGTCACAGGCTAGCCTGGAAGATGTTTGTTTGTGGACAGTGATCATTTGTATCTCATTTTCCTTGTGTAACATGATCCTGTCACAAGCATCAGCAACCAGGAGGTGCATTCAAAGTGGTGCCCAATTCTGACAGAAAGTGTGGCATCAGCTGAACTGAAATCCAGGATGTGGCACAGAAATCTGTGAGACTGCTGCAGAAATCGCTGCAGAAAGCAACAGGAGCAGTTGTTTTTCAAAGAGTTACTTACTATACACCACAGGGGGAGGGGGCTGAGCTGGCACGGGGTGCGTGGCAGGACCTGGGGACTGTGGCTCCTCCGTGCCCGTCCCTGACTGCTGGAAAGCCAGGTCGATCTCTTCATCCGTCAGGCCTGGGGGAGCAGAGACATCAGTTTAGCACCTTTACCCACTTGATGCACGCATAATTAAATCCTCAAGCCAGGCAGAACCCTTTCAAGCTGCAAAGAATTTTGGCACTGACTTGAGCAGTAATGCCTCCCCAATTTTGGATTCACTGGAATGTCTCCCTCTCTCTTTCTCTGTTGCAATTTAACCTTAAGCGACAGAATATTAGCCTCAACGCTGCTTCCAAATGTGGCTCATTCAATTTCCTTAATTTATCCTTGAGTTTATTGCTGCTTTTGAAGTAGCTTTCTATTGCAATTCTCCATTCTTCCCCCGAAAAAAAGATACCATCAACTGCAAATGTGGCTCATTTTAATCTGTAATGGTGTAAAAAAAAAAAAGAGGGGAAAAAACTAACAATAATGCATGAAAACAGACAGGGAAACAAAAAACTAATTATTGGGTTAGACGACTAATTAGTCTAGATCGTTTCCGAAGACGGGAATAATTTGCTTTATTTTATGACAAATGCAGAAATAAAAAGAAAAAAATCAGGACTGACTGTGATTAGTATGAATGGGACACAGAATGTAAGGAGGAAATAAAACTATAACAAAACAGATCAAAACAAGGCCAAGCCCAAACTTTCAGCTGAGCATCGCCCCGGCCTATTGCTGCATGATTAGATTGCCCCAGGGCAGCCTGGTTTGTGTTTCACACAGAGCTGGAGTAACACTGCACACATGGTACACGGTGGTGCAGTGACTCCTGCCACCAGGAAACGCCAGGATGACCATCTGTAACTGGCCACAACATATGGAAAGGATTTGGCCAACAAGGGGGAAAAGAAAAGCAGCTACCGGAGTCACAATGATCAGCATCTGCGAAGAAGGAAGCACAGCTGGATTATTTTTTCCAACAGGAGAAAACATCCTCTAGGAAAAGAATTTAGTACTCAGATGGTAGCCATGAAGTGGGACCTGAGCAGCTGGGTGTTATTTGTTGTGTCACTCTCCTGCACAGAAGTGCATAAAAACCCAGTGTCCCTGCTATGAGGAACATGTGAAGGGATCCAGGACCTTTCACTGCACACGCAGTGTGTGTGCAAAAACATTCCCAAAGGCTGGAAGTGAGAATGTGGATTTAAGGGAAGAGATTTAGAAGAAAAAAAAGAGGCAGATCACCTGATTCTCACACAGTGAGGAAAATGGTGTGAATAGGACAGCAGTGGGAGGAAAGGGGGGGATACCTCCTCTCCATCACCCCTACTGGAGGTCCACAAAGCATTGCTAGCACATGAAATTCCTGAACTTAATCCTTTAGAACAGTTACCTTTTTACCAGTACAGAGAGGCAGAGTATAGAAAATGCCCCAGCTAGTGGGCATATTAGCTAAGTTTCAAGAAAATTTTCAGGCTCTTCAGCTTCACTGCACACTGGGGGGTCTACACAGAATAATCTGTAGCACAAACAATACTGCCAGAAATAAATGCACAACTCTGTCTCAGAACTGTTATTTAATATCATAAGCACTAACACAGTGCTTGTGGTATTCAGAAGGCTTTATAACTATTAGCAGATCTTCTCCCTACTCCTTTGAGCACGTGAGATCTGTGAGTTCCTCCAAAACACTATTCAGCCACTCTACAGAGCAGATGCTGATGCACAGAGAAGTTTGATGATTTCTCTGAACACTGTCAGTGCCAGAAACTGTATCAGAAATCTGAAGCTCCTGATCTTTGGTCCTGAAATCTGAGAGAATCACCCCGTGAGCTGTATTTGATGAATGCCTCAAATAGTAAGGAACCAAAACCACACGTAACAATGTGGAACAACACTTGCAGTGAGAGCAATAAAAGGCACATGAACACAACTCACCCTCCTGCTCTAGTCACAAAAGCAATATTTATGGTGCCTAATCCATGTTAAAAAGCAAAGTCCTAATCAGAATGAAACTGCTTAAACCAGCTCCTAATTATCCAATGTAGGAGAGCACATAAACAGATGCCAACGCTGCAGATCACCAGCAACTCTGGGATTTCATAAAGATGGAGACAACATTAGCTGCTGGCTGTAAATGTGGCTCCCACTATAATAGGGCATTTTGTTCTATTTCCAGGCAAAGACAGCAAATCTGATAATATTTAACACTGAGAAACATCAGAAATAATGGAGAATCCTTACTTCATTCTGCAAAAAGAGCAGAAAACAATGCCTATTGTTTCCTAACCATACTGCCCCTTCTATTCTCATGCTGTTCGAGAAAAAAACTAAAATCTTTTGCAGATAAAATGCACATCTAGGATTATTCTGATCTGGCCAACTAGGGACATCCAAGTATCACTGTTTCCATTTAAACCCTGCTGTGCTGTGAAGAAAAAACGATAGAACGATGGGAAACCTTTCACATTGTAATTCCTGGATTGAATGCTGTGCAAAGTAGATCAAATTAGAATTGTTATTACTTCCCTGGACTATTGTGCTGCCTGGTGAAGTGGTCTTGGTCATGGTGCTGGTGGCATTACACAAAAGAACATCCCAAACTACATCCCTTAATTAGCAGAGGAGGAGGCTGGGAGTGCCACCCCCTTGGAACACCTCTGTTCATCTGGACAAGATGCTTTTCAGGCCTCGTCATTGTGGTCTCCAAACATGTCCCAGAGCTGATTCCTTAAGCACACCCATGGGGCAGGTCTGCCCTGGGGAGACTCAGTGCTGCCGAGTCACCCTGCACTCAGGAACACACCTGCCTTCGTGCTGGGTGTTCTCACACACAGGAGCACAAATGGACAAGGTATTCCAAGAGTGTCCTCAGGCAATTATAACCAACTCATCACAACTCCCTCTGGACTGATTTTTTTTCAGATTCACCACCTACACACGTGTATGCATGCAGTATGAGTTTTCCATGCCCAAATTATTCAACCTTGATACATTAATTACACAGAAAAGTGGGAATTTCTAAACCAGAGGAAAGTGTCATCTGTTCCAATCTCTCATCTTACTTTATCACAGACCTTCTATCACTGCACTACATGAAGAAGTATCCATGGTCCCTTCATTGTTCTGATCTAGCAGGAAGCTGGCAACCCAAAATCAATACCACTTCCCTTGGATGCAAAAGCAGTGCCACAGAAACTGAAGCTTTGTGTCTAATATAACTCTCAATAGGTATGTCAAGAAAATCACCTCAGTTTAACAGAGGAATCGCTCTAAATCCACTTTCCAACACTTTGGAAAACAAACATTTTTGTTGTTCTGCAGTTGCAGCAAGATCAAGCCCCTGCAGAACGCAAAAGGTTAAAAGGAACAATAAAGGAAACTGCCAATTGTAAGTGAATTATATTTGGCTTTGAAAGCTGAGCCACGGCTATATTATAAAAGGCATCTCTTTGCGTTGTTTACCATCACCCTGACTAATGCAGACCTTTTTTTTTGTTTTAAATAATCTCATGCAAATTAGACACACACTTCCTTCCAGTTGATTGCTATCTGCAAGGAATAATCTAACCGCAGAGGGTACCGAGCAAGGACTGAGCTGAGGAGAAGGATGCACGGAAACTGCCTTCAGAGCCCCACGGAATGCAAACCTGCTCCCTGCCCCCAACCACCATCTCCTTCCTCCACAGCACCACAGCCATTGCAAAGAATTAGTCATAATTTTCACAAAGCCTTAAAATTTCCTTTTTCAGGCTTCAGGGTGTTGATTTGAATTATCCAGCGCCCATGACTGTTTTGCACTCAAAGGTTCTTGCTGTCCCTCTTTTGTGATTGTCACTGCTGCCATTCAGTTTGCAGGGATCACTCAGCCTCTGTAAATTGTAGTCAAACACAGAAACAGAGCAAGTCAGAGAATAAAACGGGCTGTCACAAACGTCTCTTGGTGCCTGCACCTCGGGTGTTGTATAAAGAGCTCCTTTGCCCAAGAACTTCTCAGACTCGACTCTGTTTATGTCCTTTTACAATATCTGTCACTATTTAGTATAAGGACCTCATGTACATCAAAATGCTGTTCCTCTTATGCCCACTCTGAAGTTGAGGAGTGCTCATAGTGCCGTTATCCACATTTCACAGATGAGGAAGAAGTGAGACATACAGACATGAGAAGTGCTTCAAGGTCAGAACTGAACCTCTGACAGTCAGAAAATAAAACTCAGGAGATGTGAGTCCCAATCCACTGTTTAAACTGTTTTCTGGCCAAAACACAGTAGCAATAATTGCAATGCAAAACCCTTGCATGAGCTTAACTAGAGAAGCCACTAAGTTTATTCTTCTCTGACACAGGCTCTGACATTTCAGTGACAACCCTTTTCCCATCCCAGGCACTGAGGATATGTTTTTCTTCATTAAATTCCTCCTTCCGCTGCTCAATCAGTAATTCACGCAAGACTTTCACAACCTGAAGGCAACACCAGTTTTAGGGAGAAAATTTCTGTTTGGGTGAAATTAAGAATTGTGCCACATTAGGGAAGGGTGGTGGAAAGAATGAAGTGGGTTTCCAAAGCCAGCTTTATTACCACTGTGAGAGACCACCCTGGAGCAACCCTCACACCCACCCTCCACAGGGACAAAAGGCAGGGGAGGGTGTGGGGCAGGGGGTGGGAGCCGTTGTTGTTTTCTCCACAGACTTTCTGTTAAGAAGAAAACAAAATAGAACAGGACAAGTTGTTTAGCTACAACAAACTACGTGACCACCTGAAGTCAGTGCCTGGTATCGTGTGACTAAAACAAAGATCTGCTGGTCAGCACCCTGAACTGACATTACACTCCTGTTCCTGGAAGCCATTGAGTCAACCCTGCTCAGAAAGAACATGGCCACGTTTTAAAAGAATCATCATAAAATCCTTCTGGGATCTGATCCAGACTAATGATTCCACCTGTTCAGTCAGTTACATGCAGTGCTGGGTGACTCTGTTATCAAATGTTTGTCCTGTATCCTACCCTGTGCTTAGCTGAATGTATTTCAAAAAGGTCAAAAAGGCAAAGTCTCCTGATCCATTTTCTTTCTCAAATGGGTTGTTCGTGAG